CTAATTTCTATTATATTCTAATTTCTATTCTAATTTCTATTATATTCCAATTTCTATTGTAATTTCTATTCTAATTACTGTATTCTAATTTCTATTATATTCTAATTTCTGTTCTAATTTCTGTTCTATTCTAATTTCTATTCTATTCTAATTTCTATTCTATTCTAATCTCTATTCTTATTCTATTCTTTGTTTAAATAATAAAGGCAGGAGGTAAACACACAAACAATGCCACCTCTCCCATTTCTGTGCAGGGTGCGGTATATTCTGAACGTCACTCGAGAGATCGATAATTTCTTCCCGGGAGTTTTCGAATACCACAATATCCGCGTTTACGACGAAGAGGCGACGGATCTGCTGGCTTACTGGAACGACACCTACAAATTCATCTCCAAAGCAAAGTGAGTCCCTTTTGCTTGCTTTCTGTTGTGTCTGCGATGCGTTTGGCCTCTTGCGGTTGCTTTGACTTATTTGGCAGCGTACTTTAATTCAAGAGCAACTCCCAGAATGCCTGAGCTGTGCTGGCTGGCTGAGGCATTCTGGGAGTTGAAGTCCACAGGTCGCCAAGAGCCTGGTGGACTTAAACCACAGCAAATTGGCTAGATTAAATCAGCATGAAATGCGATTCGGAGCAAAAGGAGGATACTCCAGTCTGGTTAGGGAAACGAAGTTATGCCGAGAACCTTGTCAGCTTAAAGGGGGTTAAGAGAAGCCCCCTGACTTAGTGCCCCAAGGCTGGGGGTGCTGCTCCCTCACCTTTGGGAAACGCAGCCCGGCCACTGGAAGGCTGCTAGGTGCAATAAGTCGGTAGATTTCGGTCCTGCTTTTCTGCCTGGAAGGGGTTTTCCTTAGAATGTGGTCAAAATGGCAAAATAGATGGATAGAGACAGGCAGACAAATGAGAGATAGGATGGATGGATGGATGGATGGATGGATGGATGGATGGATGGATGGGTGGATGGGTGGGTGGGTGGATGGATGGATGGATGAGGTAGGTAGGTAGGTAGGTAGGTAGGTAGGTAGATAGATCGATAGATGGATGATGAATGGATGATATAGATAGACAGATAGAATAGAGAGAGAGGATGGATGGATGGATAGATAGATGATGGATGGATGATATAGATAGATTTGGTAGGTAGGTAGGTATGTAGGTAGAGGATGGATGGCGGATGATATAGATAGACAGAAAGACAGACAGGTAGATAGATGGTGGATGGATGATGGATGGACGATATAGATGGATAGGCAGGCAGTCAGGCAGGCAGATAGATGGTGGATGAGATAGATAGATAGACAGACAGACAGACAGACAGATGGTGGATGGATGATGGATGGATGAGATAGATGATAGAATGATAGAATGATAGATAGATAGATAGATAGATAGATAGACAGACAGACAGACAGATAGATAGATGGTGGATGGATGATGGATGGATGGATGAGATAGATGATAGAATGATAGATAAGATAGATAAGATAGATAGAGACAGACAGACAGATGGCGGATGGATGATGGATGGATGAGATAGATAGATAGATAGATAGATAGATAGATAGATAGATAGATAGATAGACAGACAGACAGACAGATAGATAGATGGTGGATGGATGATGGATGGATGGATGAGATAGATGATAGAATGATAGATAAGATAGATAAGATAGATAGAGACAGACAGACAGATGGCGGATGGATGATGGATGGATGAGATAGATAGATAGATAGATAGATAGATAGATAGATAGATAGATAGATAGATAGATAGATAGATAGATAGATAGATGATGGATGATAGGACAGACAGACAGAGACAGTCAGACATATAGATAAGAGAGATACACACTGTAGATATAGAGAGAGAGACAAACAGATGAGAGAGAGAGATGAGAAATTGCAGATCGATATTGTAGTTAGATAGACAGATGACAGGTAATGGTAGACAAATTACAGATAGCTGATACATTAAAAAATAAATACGGTAGACAGATGACAGAGAGAGAGAGAGATGGATGGATGGATCGGTAGGTAGGTAGATGGACAGACAGTTCAGCAGGTGGCTAGACGAATGAATGGGTGGTAGAGAAATGGACAGAGGTTTGGGCAAGGGGGTGGATGGAGGGACATCACATTCCTGCTTGTGAACATGATGCTCTGCAGGGAAAGCGGGGGGGGCGCCTTCTGGGGCTGGGGGGCCCCTTCGCTTTCCCCCCCTCCTGCCACTGTCCCCCTTCCTCTCCTAGGAAGAACGGCTCCAAGTGCCTGGTCCACTGCAAGATGGGGGTCAGCCGGTCGGCCTCCACCGTCATCGCCTACGCCATGAAGGAGTACGGCTGGAACCTCGACCGGGCCTACGACTACGTGAAGGAGCGCCGCAGCGTCACCAAGCCCAACCCCAGCTTCATGCGCCAGCTGGAGGAATACCAGGGCATCCTCCTGGCCAGGTGAGTCCAGGGCAGCGGCTGAACCAGGTTCTACTTCTACCAGAAACCTTTGACTTACAAGCAGGGCTGGGATTCTACCGGTTCAGACCGGTTCGATCGAACCGGTTGTTAGGATTCTGCGCTGCCCTCCCCTCCCCTCCCTGCCCAGTCAGTCCTTATTGCGCACGCGCAGCATCGTGCACATGTCCGACGTCTCCTCCGCCCAGTCACTCCTTAAGGCCGTGAGGGCAAACCTATGGCACACGTGCCAGAAAGTGGCACACAGAGCCACATTACTGCCAGCATGCAAACCCTGGGCCAGAGCAGTGGGGTTGGTGCACACATGCGCAGAGATGCGCGGCATGCACAGGGCGGTTGCTGATACGTGTGCAGAGAAGCGTGGCACGTGGGGTTTGTGCACGCTTGTGCAGAGATGCGCGGAGTGCGCAGGGGGGGGGTCACTCACACGTGTGCAGAGAAGCATGGCACGGGTTTGTGCACGCTTGCGCAGAGATGCGCGGCGTGCACAGGGGGGGTCACTCACTCATGTGCAGAGAAGCGTGGGACATGGGGTTTGTGCACGCTTGCGCAGAGATGCGCGGCATGTGCAGGGAGGTCACACATGTGTGCAGAGAAGCATGGCACGTGAGGTTCGTGCACGCTTGCGCAGAGATGTGCGGCATGTGCAGGGGGGTCACACACGTGTGCAGAGAAGCATGGCACGGGTTTGTGCACACTTGCGCAGTGTTCTGTATTCTGTACAGTGGTAGATTTTGTCTTGTGTACAGATGCAGATAGATAAACTCAACCAAGCATTCATACAAAGTCTTTATTGTTGGCTCGTCAGGTATCCTCATAACTCACATTTGTGACGAAGTTCTTCTTAATGTCCAATCCTTTGCCTATCTGTCTTGTAGGTAAAAAGATGGTTATCTCCTTCTCCCTTTCCTCCCATCTCGTAGCGGTAGAGCCAGAGCAGCTACCAGGAGTCCGTGAGTTCAGGCAAGAGTGAGGAAACCTCCCCCAACCCACCGAGGGTCAGTGGAGTGACCAATCAGGATTACAGATGTGGTCACGTGACATGGACTACATGTCCCAGGATCCCTTCACTCCACTTACCATGAGGCACTCCCTTAAGGGGACAGCTCACACGTGCTCTACTAACTATCCAATTCCCATCCTCTGGCTGGGCAGCAGAGATGCGCGGCGTGCGCAGGGGGATGACTCACACGCGTGCAGAGGGGGGGCTGACAAAAAATAAGCCACGCCCACCTAGCCACGCCCACAAAACCGGTTGTTAAAAAAATTGGAATCCCGTGGCTGCTTACAAGCGTCCGTTTAGCGACTGGAGTTATACCGACAGTGCAAAAAAAGAAAAAAGAAAGAAAGAAAATTAGGATCGCGTTTCACACTGAACGACCGTTGGCGACCTCAAAGCGATCGAAATTCAGACGCTTGGTCCCTGACTCGTACTTGTGACGGGCGCAGTGTTTCCCCCCCCCCCACCCCCCGGGATCCCCTTTGGCGACCTTCTGACCAGCCAAAAACCTACGGAGGGGAAGCCGAGATTTATTTAACGGCCGGGCTACGGACGTCACAGCTGCGGGGGATTCACTTAAGAGCGGCGGGCAGGAAGGCCGTAAAATGGAGCGAAGCCGGCTTATCGACTGTCTCACTCAGCCAGGGGAAATTGGGGCCTCCCTTGCGGTCATAAGTTGAGGACCTGCTTGTAACCCCCCTGGTCCTGGCAACTGATTCACATTTATGACGGTTACACCCACCCGGGATCCCCCTTTGGCGACCCTTCTGACCAGCCGATGGGGAGGCCAGATTCACTTAACAGCCAGGTTACTAACTGAACAGCTGCAAATGATTCTCTTAACGACGATGACAAGAAAGGCCGTAAAAGGAGGCGAAGGCCACGTAAGAGCTGTCTCGCTTAGCAGCAGAACGTTGGGGCTCAATTGTCGTAACTAGAGGAACTTACAAGGTAATCCTCTCAAGCAGGGGGTTGGACTAGAGGACCTCCGAGGTCCCTTCCCTAATGTTATTCTGTTGTTCTGCTATTCCTCATGCAAACCCCCCCACAGGCTTGTGTTTGTAACGGGCACCAGCCCTCTTGGGCAACCTGTTTTGTGTTTTCAGTGACACAAAATCCCCCCCGATTGCAGCCACGTGGATGCCAGATGACCTCTGGAAGGTCTCGAATATCAGGGGGGTTTCCGAAAGTGTGTTTGGAAGCAACAACTGGCCAGAAAACGAGACCGAGGGGGGAAGGGATTTGAAACGGGCAAGAGACAGACTGGCTCAGTGGGGCCGTTGTGAAGGAGGACAAGAGAAAGCACCTTTCAGAATACAGAATAGGAGGGCACCTTAAAGGCCTTCCAGTCCACCCCGCTGCCCAAGCAAGAGAGTCTACACCAGTTCAGACAAAAGGGGGTGGGTGGTTATCAACCACTTCTTTAAAAGTTCCAGTGTTGGAGCATTCACAACTTCCCAAGGCAACTTCTGTTCCATGGGTTTGATGGTTCTCCCTGTCAGAAAATTCCTCCTTATTTCCAGGTTGAATCTCTCCTGGTTCAATTTCCATCCATTCTTCCTTCTCTGGCCTTCGGGTGCCTTGGAGAATAGCTTGACCCCCCTTCCTCCTCTCTGGGGCAGCCCCTCAAATACAGGAAGAATGCTATTAACAGAGTTGGAAAGGGACCTTGGAGATCATCTAGTCCAACCCCCTGCCCAAGCAGGGAGACCCTACACCATTTCCGACAGAGGGCAGTCCAGTCTCTTCTTGAAAGCCTCCAGGGATGAAGCTCCCACAACTTCTGAAGGCAACTTCTGTTCCGTGGGTTGATTGTTCTCACTGTCAGAAAGTTTCTCCTTATGAATCCCTCCTGGATCAGTTTCCATCCATTGTTTCTTGTCTGGCCTTCAGGTGCTTTGGAGAATAGCTTGACCCCCTTCCTCCTCCTCTCTGTGGCAGCCCCTCAAATATTGGAAGACTGCTCTCCTGTCTCCCCTGGTCCTTCTCTTCCCTGGACTAGCCAGGCCCAGTTCCTGCAACCATTCATTGTATGTTTTAGCCTCCAGTCCCCTCCTCATCCTGGTTGCTCTTCTCTGTACTTTTTCTAGAGTCTCAACATCTTTTTTATAGTGTGGTGACCAAAACTGGATGCAGGACTCTAGGTGTGGTCTTACTAAGGCTTTATAGAGTGGTATTAGTACCTCCCTTGATCTCAATTGTATCCCTCTGTTAATGCAACTTAGGATTGCATTGGCTTTTTTGGCTGCTGCTGCACAACATTGGCTCCTATTTAGCTGGTTGTCCACTAAGACTCCGAGATCCCCCTCCCAGTTCCTGCTATTGAGCCTGGTTTCACCCAGTCTATAGGTCTCCTTTTGACCAGTTGCCTGCAAGGAGTATAAATCCTTCCTTTCCCCACCTTTCAGTCAGAGTTGAAGAAGCTTCTGGGATGAGAAGTGAAATGTCTCCAAAGAAAACCTGAAAGTCCAGTTGCCTCTTGAAGGAAAAAAAGCACCTTTGGACAGCCAAAGGGCCCTGCTGACTTAACTGACCCTTCACCTGGTCAGCGCTGGTGGCCGCAGGAGAATTACGTGGCATGTTTTGCCTTCCATTTCCGGAAAGCTGGCCCCGTTTGTTCCTGAAAACAGATGGGCAAACATGCCACTGGCAGCTGACCAATGGCCGGAGCGTGTGACCGGGATCGGGTGCCCAACTAAAGGGACAAACACCCTCTTGAGTCTCCAATACCCCCAGGCAACCTGATCTCTCGGGGCTTTCGGATGTTGATCCTGACCGGATCAGCGTCCGTTGTGTTTTTTCTCCTTCACCTCTCCTTGCTCAAGGGGTCCAAAAAAAGGTCTTGCGTAATGTTTCTTCTCGGTCCACGTCTCGTTCTGTCGTCTACGGCAGGGGTCGCCAACCTTTTGGACCTCAGGGACCACCCAACTCGTCATTTTAAA